TCACCGCGTGTGAAATATGTAGTTAAATCGTGAGGCTATGACACAGATCACATTTGCTCTACTGTGAAACCACTGCTTCAAGTCATTGATTTAGTTTAAAAAAATAGACTTAGATGACTAAGGTTTATTGAAAGGAGGTGGGGTGAAATGCAAGTTACACCAAGCCATAAAGACTTTCTGAAACGCGGAATAAATCGCTGTCAAGAGATTAGCGTTTCCAACTGCCACGTAGATCATACCTTTCCACATGTCGTATGGACCCTTCCACATTTCTCATTTGTTTGATTCCCGCAAAATCCTTGCGCTTGTATACAATAGCTGGTTACCATATAAGGTGTTTGCATTCTATTACTTAATGCTTGATAACCCACCTTCACTAGTTTCGAAGGCATCAGCATTATTTACATTTGCTGACTTAAACACTGCGGTTCCCTGCAGTCCCGAGGTCAACCTAGCCAAAACCTTTTTTGCGTCCTATTGTGTCCACTGTAGCTTTTTATCGTATATCATCAGTTCTTCTCATCACATTACTGGCTATTTCATGCTTCGCCATTTTTACTTCTCTTGGTGTCGAAGATGATGGTTTTCTCACGTTTGATCTCGTTCAATGATTTGATATTATCCGTGCTAGCTATGAGTTCTTGCATTCTTGACAAACAGACTCAATGTTGTTAAACGAAGATTTACTTTACAATGGCTAACTTTTCAGCCAATTTTGCCTTCTTCAGAGCAAAAGAACGCTGACAATATGGAATCTACTCAGCCAGATGCCTTCTCAGTAATTCCTATGACCGAAGTGCGGAATCAGCTGAAATGTTTTTGAGTTCAAAATAAGTGTTCTAGTGACAACCTCATGTCTGCTCATGAAGAAAGCTTTCATAATACCTTAATAGAAGCGGAAAGCAGAAGGACAAATACTAAACTTGACACGGCAAATTGTCGTCTTCAACGGCCTAGAATTGGTAGCATCGTGTGAAAAGTTTGGAGGAAAAATCATTCCTCCAAGAGATAAACCTAACGAAAGACAGGTCCTGTTTAGTATTCTTTCCATTTTCAACGCAGTAAGCGCAGCTACAAGGCGATGCTTGGAACGAGTTGGTCTAAAGAAATCGGTATCAGTGATTAAACTGCCACCGAACACTGCGCCATCAGCTAATTCGTTACTGCTTGTACAACCACCTATGTATAGACAAAACTGGAGGATTTTGCCATGACGATAGATACGGTACTTCCATGAGTTCCGGTACGGTGTACTTGATCGCATATAGAAGACGTGGCGATGAATACATCAGCGAAAAGGGTAGGCGACGATGTTTCCGTATAAAAGAACACCTATACGCAAAACATAAGCAGAACACTCCACCAAGCACGCATGGGACATAAAAGCATACAGGAGAAGACTTTGAAATCAGAACCGCGTGCTCATAAAAAACTGAAACATCAGCAGGCAAAATTATTGACGAATTTTGGAAAAGTTTTAGAAATTCGGATGTGAACGGCACAGAGGAGTGCATTGCAATCACGTTCGAGTACGAGCCATACCTCAGACTGATTTTTTTCACTCGATCCGCACACATTCCTTGCTCATGTTAACTCCACACCGCTGGTTTCTCTCAATAGGCTGAAGATACACGAGGAATGGTGTTTTAAAGAACATGCGATTATCGAGTTCTACCATGCGATCGAAATCTAGTGATTATTAAACAGTGTACCAATTAAGCTTTAGACAGCATCTTGCTGCTGCTCTTTGTGTGCTGCACAAAATTCCCGAGGTGGTTGGTGTACAAGCGCATGTCATGTGATTACGTTAGTCAAGGAATAGTTGATTTCGACTTGTTTTCCAATGTAATGTAGAATTTTTATGGATTCTGTTTCCTCCTGCCTCATTGGTAAATGAACTATCGGCCACATTGAGCGATGACTACATTCGTACTTTCGGAAAGATAACGGTGTCATCGACGACACAATAATTTAATCTGAGTTCCCCATAAATACTTCTGTCTTTTCGTTTAAACTGGAGATTCCACTATTCACAGCGATGCTGTGATGAAGAACTTTAACAGCATCGTGTGGTACCTCGAGTTCTATTTCCTGTGAAGACGGTAAGGAGTGGAAGTAGGAGTTGTGGTTTAAAAAAAAACTGTGGTTTCGTTATGCACCCACCTAGAGTTTTTACCGATTACGGGTCCACACCTCAGCTGACGATCATTGACACAATGGAATTCCTTTTAACACTGACGACGTCCCTAATCAACAAAGGCTAGAACTGCGGTTTTGAAATGCTCCATATAGCATGCTAGTCGCAGTTCTGCCTACTAAGCTGGATGAGTTCCACCCGTTCTTGACACCAGTGATGAGATAATCTGAGCAGTTTGCTGAGCACACGAAAAAATAGTTCAGTTACTCTTAGTGAGTAAAATGACCGTCCTCTTGGTTCCTTCTCTGTTGGAGATTGCTTTATACTAAAGATCCTTTGTATTGTAGATTGAGAGAAGCGTGCTTAATTTGTAGTTTCGCGTTTGAAAGAGACCTGTTCTATTGTTGTTCCATCCAAGGAGTGGCCTCCTTGGAATCCCCACATTGCTCAACTATGGCGTTCGCAGATCTTCACCATAAGTGGTCACTGGCGTTTCTCAGATGTATAGAGGTTTTCACAAAGAAGTCTGCTACAAATTCGTTAGCCACGGAAGGCATGGAATTTCTTTTCGCCAGGTGTGGGTTGGAACTAGGAAGCATGTTTATGTTGCACGGCATCTCTAGGCAATGTGTTTTCCACACTCCACTGTTTCGTTTTCTCTTTCCTGTAAAAGTCGGAAGAATTTGTGCGTCGTTGTTGAACGAGAGACACACTAATCTTCCTTGTGCTGCTCAGATGTTCGTACACAATGAATCAGTTAAAAAGTAAATTTAACGTCTAACGTTCTTCTAATAATTTAGACATTTCCGAAGCATCTCAAACGGCGTGCACAATGAAAAATTGCTCTATAGCTACTTTGTTACTTCGTGTAAGCGTCGTGGATTTAGGGATACCTAGTGCGACCACGTCGACTTGTTGAAATTCCTGAGTAAAAAACAAAATAGGATCATAAGCTAACGGCTGCCTAGTTCCTAGTTAGAAGATTCATGGTTTGGGTGACTTCTTAACGAAAACATATGCAACCTTACATTATTGTTGTTTCTGCCAAATGGAAGGACGCCTTCGTTCAACGACTGAGAATAAAACGATGGTTCATTCACCATGGCTCTTTACGAAGGATGTTTCTAACAAATAGTTCTTTATTCCTTTAAATCAGACACTTGGTGATGCAGACTTTAGTATGTGCTTAACATGCCGGACTTCCAAAGTAAGGATTCGTAATGGCAAGAGCTCTTAGGCCTGTATGTTTTCCAACTCTACTGTCGTCTATCTTATTTTATTCAAAAGAGAGTCCTCTAGCAGACTTTAACTACGCAACAAGAACGTTAGAAGCATTGTTCCCCCCACATTTTATCTTTATCTGGGAGTCACTGTCCTCATGCATGAATCGAAAACATCAGTGCGTGAAACTCTTGAAGCGTTTTGGATCAATTCTAAAAATTCAAAAATGAACCGCAAGGAGGAGTGTCTTGTCATCACGCGTGACCTGGAGGCCATACCTCAGGCTCATCCAATGACCTGACACAGACACAGTTATCGCCCATCTATTACTTTGTGAGGCTGGTATCCACCAACTAACTTAGATACTTACAACAAATAAACGGTAGTTGTTTAAATGAAGCTGTTTCTTATGTGAATACAAATTTATTTGTTAAGTTTTATCTGCTGGGGTTATGAAAGTCTTGGCTGAGTAGATCGCATCTCATTTTGACCTTTCCCGGCTCAAAAGAAGGCGAAACCGCCGAAACGTCAGCTATTGTATCCTAATAAATTCTATAATAATAACCTCGTGTCTGCTTATTGAAAAAAGACATCGAATTATCAATCAGTGCCGAGGTTAACAGAACGTCGGTCTTGGGCATTTTATCTCTGTCCATTCGCATCCACTCGGCCGTGATTCTCGTCCATCGTAGGATTGTTGGGTTTTTTCATTGAAAACTAGATAAACATCCGACATAGTGATGTCATAGAGGTAACGAGAGTGAAATGCTACCCAGGGGCGGGTAGTACTTGGGATGAGCATTTGGCGTCTAGCACTATCTACGGGGCTGGATTTCCGCCTGTGCACCAGTTCCTCTACTTGCCTACTCCTGCTGTCTGGGAAACAGTCCACCAAGAAGCTTAGCGTAGCTTCGCCTTTTCGCGCCATCTTCTGTTAACAATCTTTGTGCAACGTAGTGTTATAGCGTTACGATTCATTCCCTTCTCACTAAGGTTCTCTGTGAAAGAGCCATTGTAGCACGGAGTGTTTTCATAAGCATCTTTGGGGTTGCAATCGTTTCAACACGTTTGTCACACTTCTCTTTTCCTCTAGCATGTATGAATTACGTTCACTGATATGTTACTTCCGCTGTGCCATATATTACCTCACAGCAGTTTGTTCTTAAAAGGACAAAGGATAAAGCTCTCGGCGTTGATTAATCGCTTAAGGGTGCGCCATGCATTCGACTTTATTGAATATCGTTGAAGGTTACTGAATTCCTACTTGGCCCTTATAATGGCTCACGGTGGACTACCGATGTATCGAGCCAGTGCTACTATCCTCCCGGACAAGTGTGGTACCAATTTGCCGATCCTGGAGGGATGGGAGGCTTGGTGGGCTAAAAACGCGGGAATCGGCAAATTGGTGCCCGACTTGTGTGGGAGGATAGCAGCAGTGGCTCGATACATCGGTAGGCCACCGTGAGTGAATCATTGTAAAGGCCAGATATGCATTCAATCACCTCCAAACGATGCTCAACGAATTAGAATGCATGGCACATCCCTCAGGTATTGATCAACGCCGAGAGCTTTATCCTTTATGTCGTTTTGCTTCTGTTTCCTAAGCCATTCATCACCTGTGTGCTACAGTTTTCATTTCAGCATGGTCACATCGAACATCTATCACAGATCACAGTCTAAAAAAGATTCTGTTCTGTACAGACCTCAGCCAAGGCATGATATTCGAGAACATCAGCTGAGACGTTTCATTGAGGAGAAATTCGGAGTAAAAATAGGTCGTTTCTTATTCCAATCGTTTCACTTTTTGAAGCTCTTTGCGTAGATGTTCAACGTTTTTCAGATTCATATTCAGCGTTCCATAGATGGAGTTGCGAGAACTACGCGAAATTTTGGGAGGCTCTACTAATTTTTACTGGTATTAAGCTTGGCTCGAGCTATGATACAGTTTGTAATTTAATCTGTAATTGTTGTCTACACATGTGTTACTGTTTGTCATCATAGGTGGTGGACACGAGTATGCGCATAACGGATTTTCCTCGTTGGTTCAGTGGTGCCACTCTCAACTACACCGAGAATTGTCTTCGTGGAAAAGACGAGGATGTATCTTTCATATCCGCAAGTATGTGGTGTTAATTTTCTTTCATTGTATTTTTCATGAGGGCACCTGTTGCCCAGTGGTCGAAGGCTCCCTGAAATACGCATAGGATCGATCCTCGGACCCAAGGCTCACCGGGCCCTCCGTCCATCTCGGGTTGAAAAATTGGTACGAGACTTGTCTGGTAGGATAGCAGCACTGGTTCGACACATCGGCTGGCTACCACGAGTCACGAGTTAAAGGCCAGATATGCATTCAGTCATTTCCAACAATGCTTAATGAAGTCGATTGCATGGCCCATCCCTCAGGGATTGATCAACGCCGAGAGCTTAATCCTTTATCCTTTTATTTTGAATGACCTGTCATCACATATACTTATAGGAGCTCAGCACTTCTTGCCTTCTCGTTTTCCTCACATTCATCCAATGCGGTCTTCGAACGTTTCGTGTGTGTATCATCTGCTGCTTGAGGATTTTGTATTCTTACTTGATGTCGGAGAATGCTGCTCGAGTGGATTCTTTTTGCGATTGTGAACATAATCGTGCTAAGGGGTTCCCACGTTGGTTGGAGGAGAGCTTTGTGGCGGGGATCGAACTAGTGCTTTGCTTCCTGGCATGTATCTTTAGTAACTGTTATTTTACGTCGCTGCTTGAATCCACGTTTTCAATTAGCGTATTATTTTCAAGATGCCAAATGCGAGTTGGTTTTCCATTCCTATGCTGAGTTGCGTAATGATGTGATGAGACTTGCCACGGCTCTGAGGTTGTTTGGTGAGTTAAATTTTCATATTCATCGGTTTCTTTGTTTACTTGGCAGTTGGGAACATTGTCATAGTGTCTTTTTATCGATTTGTCTTCTATCGATTATATCTGAGGGGGAGGGCATGTGGTGCAGTGGTCGGAATGACTCTGTAATAAATACACATGGGATCCATCCTCTTCTCGACCCAGGCTCACCAAACCTTCCACCCTCGTGGTCGGGAAATTGGTACCATACTGGTCTGGAAGGATAGCAGCACTGGCTCGATGCATCGGTATGCCAGTGCAAGTCATTGTATAGGTGAGATAACCACTGGATCACCTCCAACGATGCTAATGAAGTAGAATGTATGGAGTATCCCTCAGGGATTGGTCAACGCAGGGTGCTTTGTCCTTTTATTTTTTCTTCATGTGAAAAGAGTTCACATTATGGAAAATTAAAGGAACAGTTAGAATATGTGGTAGGACTGTAATATGTATCGGCAGCAGAGTGATTCTGGAGTAATTGCTCATGTTCAGTGATTAACACACTGTGCTATGGGCAGAACTGCGAAACTTGACTATCTTTCATTTTCTAGTGTTAACTTTAGCACGGAAATTAAGGAGTACTGCTGAGCTCTTCCATATCTTTTCAGTGCTTATCTATATACTCTACTTCGTTTTCAAATTCAGGAATCAAGCCTGCTGATGTCATATGTGGTTTCCTTCCAAATTCATATCAGACTAGCGTTGCTATGTTTGCCACTGCTGCCATAGGCGCTACGTGGTGCAGCGTTTCAGTAGACTTTGGTCCATGTGGGGCTGTTGATAGATTTAAACAGGTTCTTTTATCAAGTTGTTTTTTCTTTATTTGTCTTTTTTTAACTGATGTTTATTAACCTAGGTGAACCCGAAAGTGCTGTTCACCGTTGAAGCCGTAACTTATAAAGGGAAGACTCATGATCTGACGGAAAAGTTGAACTTGATTGTTCCAGGTATACTATCTCTCTGCTTATTTTTTCTGTTTACGACTTTTTGGGGAAGTTTTCCTTACTTACACTTTTTCTTATGTTTTCATGGCTTTGTACAACGTTTTCTAACAGGTCTAAAATCCTTGATAGTTTTTTTGTTTCTTCGATTTCATAGATGCACGCGGATTTTTTTTAGAAACATAGGTATTTGAACTGCGTTGTAACCCGATCACCTACACGTTGACCTAAGCTAAGTAGCGAAATTCCTACCAGGAGGCCGTGAAAGAAAAGCGTATATCGTGACAAAGCATGACGAGCTAGTTTTCGCGGAAAATAGTGGCAAAGTGAAATCAAACCGAAAAAGTGGTACTGTTCATGTCCACTCACTGAGTCAACTAAACATGCGAAGCGGCTGTAGTACTAAAAGCATGCGAATGGGGCTTACTAGTGTCCGATTGATTCACTCAAATTTATTTATGTGCTCGTATGAATTGATCTTGCGGGCAGTTCCATTCCTAGCATCACGACTGTGAGGAAGGTGAAATTGCGAATCATCAGCCATCGACCAACAACGACGACGACTATGTCAACCTCGGATCTGCTCAACAAGATCAGTTCATAAGAACGTGTAAATAAATATGTCGATTATTTATGACGAGGTTTATAGAGAGTCAGTCTTTTGATTTACTCAAACGTGAACAGAACTGCGCTTGTACCGATGAAGTTTATGAAGTCAAAGTCTTTCTTGGATCTTATTCCACCAATGTTGGACGTTTCCAAGGTTTCTTGGGCAGTTATAAATGACAACCATGTAGTTTAGTCTAACTAAGCTTATTATGTGAAAGTAACTGCATATCGGAGACTTTGAGTCAAATGTTATGTTATGTTATGTAAACTTCAAAGTTTTTGTGTGTTATGCTGTGCCAGATAAGTAAGGAGTTATAAAATAATGAAACAGCGGGTATTGTCGTGATGACTACCAAATGCAAATGTTTAGGAATTCCATCACTTGCTAAGGTGGTACAGATCAACAATCTGAACTCCACTATCGATTTCAACAAATATCAGCATGGAGAGAAATACGAAAGCTTCGATTGCATTTTGAATTCGGTGAAATGCGTTCCACATCCTTTTGTTTTCGAAAAGGTACACATTACATGTTTTAGTTCTTGCTTTGTTTACATCCTCTATACCAAACTTGCACATGTGGCACAGTGGTAGGAGGTGGGCCTGCAATACACATGGGATCGATCTCCGCGCCCGAGATTCACCTAGCCTTTCATCACTCCGGGGTCGACATATAAGTACCAGACTTGTCTGGGAGGATAGCAGTACTGGCTGGATACATCGGTAGGCTACCGTGAGCCATTATAAAGACCAGGTATGAATTCAATCACCTCCAACGATGCTTAACGAATTCGAATGAATGCCGCATCCCTCAGGGATTGATCAACGCGGAGAGCTTTATTCTTTATCCTTTATACCAAATTGTTGGTGGATTTGCTGTATAACACAAAATGTTTTGATGTGGAAATAAGCAGAGGTTTTTTATGGCATTGTAAGGTACTTCAAGATCTTGTTCTTTTCTCACTACGGGGAAACTTTATTTTTTGTCATCGAAACACTACTGAACATAAATCTCTATGCTTTCAAGTATTGTTTTAAATTGCTGCCTACGTATAACAGCTAAAAAACTGTTTCTAATCAGATTTTCTAGGTACCTTTCTCTCATCCGCTTTTCGTTATGTTTTCTAGTGGAACAACTGGTATTCCTAAGGCAATGATTCATACCACTGGAGTACGTTAGATTTTATGTTAAACTTTTCTTTGTACGCCAAGAATTTTTCTAGTTTATTATGTGGTCTATTTTTTTTTTTGGAAAATCAACGTCATTGTTAAGGGAACACTGTTAAAACACGTAGAGGAACACTTAATCCAGGCTAATAGTCAGTCTTGCGACCGTATGCTGTTCTATACCACTTGTGGATGGATGATGTGGAATTGGTAAGTTTCAGTGTCATTGTCGTCGTCTTCATTCTTCGACTTCTGAAAGTAAAAATAAGACACGAATATGTTCGGGATTTAATAATCAGTGTTGGCCGTCGTTTAAATGATGTCGATTTGGTTACTTCCAAACTTCTTTGATTCTTCTTAAGTAAAATCTGAATACTTTATCCTCAAACTGAATGCCATATTAACACATTCGCGATGTTATGAATCATGTCTGAAGCACACCTAGCCGGTAATTTAATTGTAATTTAGCCTTTGAAACGTAAACAAATACTTCTCAACTCGCAGTCAAACTCATCAGTCGAAGTATAAAACTGTTATTTCATAGCTTTTTGAATGGAGGTTTTCTTTTCCGAATATTATGAGGTTCTAATTTTGTCGAACCTATGAGCGGTCTTTTCATACACAGTAGTATCCAAAAATTTGTGGTGCAGTTGTTTACGGTTACCTCTAGTGCGCTAATATCTTTGCGATTTTGGATTTTTAACAAATTCAAAGTGGATATACCGTTTCGGAAAAATGAAGTGCGGTAGAACGAGATCTCTTCTATAAGCATGTATGTAAAGTGTTATGTTTGCCACAATGCTCCAGTTATGGTGAAATTATTGGTATTTATCAAATGACTAGAGTCGTAGTGATTGTCTTTGAATGCAGAGTAGGCGCTTTTTTACTTAATATTCTTGTTTTCCTAATACCTTCCAATGGTTTGCCGTCTCAGCGTAGCTTGGAAGTGTTCCTGGGTGTCGGACTGCGATGTGCAGCGGGAGGGTTCATCCTCCGGCAAGTTCTTCCATTCTGGGAAAAACTCCGGCGTTTTCATCAGGAAGTCCAGCTAAGAGTAGAGCAATACCAGTATCCACCACCGTCTTGGTATCAAACTAGTCGTATAGTGACAAATTTTCCCCTGGTCCACAAGAGCGGTGAATGCTTGTGGTGGTGACGACCTGGGGCAGACTTTGGCCAGGATGACCCCAGAACTCCAAGGAAACATTTCATTTTACAAATGAGAGCTTTGAAGATAAGAAGGACCAGTAAGGATTCGCCATCATCAAGTGTGTTCATTCCAACATTTTAATTGAAGTAGATCTATATGCAGTGAATGATTATTGGACCACCAGACGAGCTTGAGATGGATGTGAATAGTTTTAGGATATCTGTGTGAAAAATCGATAAAGAAAATAATGTGTGAAGCACCAATTTAACAAATGGAAGGAGTTCTTTGTTATGAAACATATTTTAGTCTTCTTTCAAGCAGCAAAAGCAATCTGTTTTATTGTCATATTGTGATATATATGGAAGTTAGGACTCTATGCGACAGCCGACACATTCTGCGCGTCGAAGGGTAGTTTTGAAGTGCCAAAATCCTTTTTGGAGCTAAGCTTACATTAGAACATGGTCTCACCATTACATTAGAGATGTATTGCTAGAATATTCTCATAGAATTTCACTTCGTGGATCGGTTATGCCGGTATCGGTGGAAAGATCACATTACCGTTGTACGATAAAGTCAGACTGCCCCTTTCACAATCATTGCTTGGGAACTAGGGTTGGAAGCTGTCTCATCCGGACCCTTCCTACGATATTCACTGGATCTCTGCCTCGCCGACTATCTACTATTTCTGAAGCGCCTTTCTGGAATAGGGTTGGTAATCCTCCAACTTCCTTGTTGTTTATTTAGATTATAGTTGGCTTTGTTTTTATTAGTAGTAGTGAAGAGCTATGGTAACTATATTTGCACTTCAAGTGTAACAACTGACATTAGTTTTCCGTCAATCTCATACCTCATTCCTAGTTTTCTTTTCGGAGAACTGTTTAGTATATTTGAGCTACCATGATATTGTTCATGACAAGCATTTTCTTATAGGGTCATGTCGTTTCTTTTCTGCGGTGGATCCATCGTTTTATTCGATCAAAGTCCACTTGAGCCTGATCCGCACATCATTTTGAAGGTAGTTTCTGAAATATTAAGTGATTTCGCATATATATTTATACATATTTATATTTATTTCAGGTCACGTCTGTATCAAAAGCCACCATTATTGGAATGGGAGCTAAGATGTACGATGAGTACGCAAAAATGAATGTTGATTTCCGTAAGTTCTATAAAGTGTGCAAATCACAAAAACATCTATGATTCGGGTGGAAATGGGTCAGTATCTTTTTTCGAATTATTGTTGCAAGCTTACTGTTCATCTTAAGCTCATCGTAATTATGATGTTTTAATTCCATTTGTTGTCTGTATAGGTTATTTTGAAGGGAGTGGAGCCATAAACGGCAAAAGGGAGGTCTGTGAGAAGTTTTTTGTGCATATAATTCTTTTATGCTATCGAGTAACTAGTTGCTTTACTGATGAAACTAGGAAAGATAACGTCTTCACTGAGATTATATTGTTTCCATTCTCTTGTCTTCCAACCGAATCGTTAGCGACTATTTACGAGCCGGAACGATGATCTCCTCTGGATATGCAGTTTGTCTCTCTCTGTCTCTGGTGAGTGGAGAACTAGATATTTGCAGGTAATGTTACCGGAATGGATCTAGAGCCTATTCATAGGAAGCGAGTTCGAACAGCGTCCTGTGTGTTTACCACATTAATTGGTTCCTTTAGGGCGTTTAGTTGATTCTTGGTGTAGTTGAAGGAATGAATTTGGTACGAAAACAACGGTCGCTTTCAACTTCAATCCGTCATATATCAACTAGTAGTGGACCACATTATTGAAGTAAAGTCTACAGTCTAGTTATATAAATTACTGAAGTGAAACTTTGTTTTTGTTTGAGCTCAGAGAGCGATTTTTTTCCACCAATTTTTGTACCATGGTTTGTGTTTCAAATATGGAACTAAATCAACAATCTGGATTTCGTCCAACGGAACATGATGGTATTCCCCAATGAATGGTGGCTGCTGGGGTTTCGTGAAGATTTTTGAGGTCTCAGACTAGGAGTGTAATTCTCTAAAATATTATTTCGAAACACGTTCAGTACGGAAAGGATATTTTCTACGAATTTTATATAGGATTAAAGCAGTATGATAAAGTCTGTCCTGTAAATCTGTGAAGTTCTCCACTCGTCAAATACTCAAGTGGTTGATCATCAGTTGTTAAAAAAACAATTTTCCACTATTATGTGTTTATATGGACTGGTCATGCAACTTCAGAACTAACCGGTTGTACTAGGTTAACACAGGAATAATTTTTGGTTGACGGTACAGGATTGCTTTCGTATATCGTCTAAGGCTTATTTACAATGGACAATGACTATGATTAGTTAACGGTGATATTTTTGACATAGTTCGGGATCACAACAATGTTTGTCTTTTTTTTGTTGCAGTCCATACGGAGTGACAATTTCGACGATCCAGCAGTTTTAAACGCGTCTCTTATTTCACTCTACTGCTGGGGTTAGAATTCAAAAGAGTCTGTCTTTTTGTTATAAAACAAGGTTCGAGCGGAATGTCATGTT